CGGCAGGCATCCAGCGGAACATAGACTGAATTGCTTCTATCTTATTCTTTGGCAACGGATTCTTTTTTTTTTTTTGTAACTTTGGGAGCCGGTAAATGAATTTCACTCACTATAGATTTCTTGGTTTTGCTCATTTTTATGTTTACCACAGAAGAGGCTAAATCTATATTATGCGACGTTTTATATTCAACTTCATAATAAGATTTTGTAAATTTTAAGAATGTTACCATAGTATAAGGCACATTAGAATAATAAAATAGAGCTGCACGTTCCTGAAAATTATAGAAATCTGTTATTCGTATTTGAATAATGCAATACGGGTTCTTTCTGTTAACTGTCAGTAAGAGACGAATAAGCGAAATTGGTGAAAAAATATCCCGCATGAGAAAGTGATCGATGCAACTATGTATATTGTCGATTTCTTGAAGACAAGAATGTCCAAGACTGGAATACTTCATTGTTATGCTAGTTATACAGGATGGGGCAATAGTGCGCCGGACCTCGATATCTCGAGTTCTACGATAGCTAGAAATTTTTTAAAAAATTGCAAGTAAACTAGATACAAAAGTCTATAAATGGAAATTATTTTCGAACATACAGGGTGAGCCGAGACGAAATTACAGGACCAAGTGCCTTTTTTTAAAAGGAATGCTATGTATGTCAGTACATTTTTCAAGACTCTTTATAGGCTCTATTCATTCCTATATTATTATTGGCTATCTCCCAACCACTTTGATGTAATGAATTTTTTTGTTGAAATAATGCCATCTGCAGATGGATATTAAAAAAATCACCACAGTCACAATTATGGATTTTAAGAAAAACTTATGTGAACACCAGTTACGAGACATCTGAATTAAATACTAATTTTTGGCCACCCTGTACATTTTTAGGAAATGAAAATGATTCAAAAATATTAATTAGAACTTTCTAAATTGAATTTTCTCAATTTTTTTCAAATGGAACACCCTGTATATTTTTCAACGATGTGATGTAAAAATGAAAAACGAAAATTTTTTGTAAGTAATGCCCTATGGCTAATTGCAACCATTTTCGTTTTATAAATAAATAAGCGTCAAATTCAAGAATAAACTTAAATAAATATAGTTTAAAAAAAACTAAAAAACACGCTTTTAAAGCACATCAAACTAAAAAGTGAAAAATAATTATTAATATAAACTGAAAATAATAATGAACGAAAAATACTAGTATTATTGTGAAAAAAGCGTGGGGTGCTTTGTGCAATATTTTTCGTATATCGAGCACCCCACGCTTTTTTCACAATAATACTAGTATTTTTCGTTCATTATTATTTTCAGTTTATATTAATAATTATTTTTCACTTTTTAGTTTGATGTGCTTTAAAAGCGTGTTTTTTAGTTTTTTTAAACTATATTTATTTTTAACTTTTTTAGTTTGATGTGCTATGAAAGCGTGTTTTTTAGTTGTTTTAAACTATATTTATATTGCTTATTGATGCTGATATTATAACATATTACGATCCAACAGATATTTCTGAAAAAAAAAAAATTTTTATTTCAGCCGTGAGGTTCGAACTCACGCCGGATGAGTCTGTCGTTTCGCGTCGAGTGCCTTAACCCACTCGACCACCGGGCTAATTAACAATTATGGAATCTACTGACATATTAAGCCTTTGCTTTCACGCAGGGATACGTGAGGAAAGGATTGGCGATCCTGAACAGGATAATGATATAAACTTATCAAATTATTGTATTGTTACCGGTTCTTAATAAGTGTACAAAGTTTCAATTAAATCTGTCCGTTTAAAGTGGGTTAAAATCGAGTCCAAAGAGTCGGTTACAAACAAACATACAAACAAACAAGCAAACATACAAGTGAAGCTAATAAAAGCGTGTTAAAAAAGAGGTTCCCTCAAATAATTCATTAGACAAATTTATAATCGGTGTTCGACGTGTTGCCCATTTTGATTGACACACGTCTTTATGCAATTTTGAAATGAGGTCATTTAGTGGGACCATTTCCATTGAAATGAGTAAATAGTATTTAACCAGTCCTTTACTGTAATGTTTTTTTTGTAAATTTTTTTGCTGTTTTCGTTATTCGACAAGCAATAAAATCTCAGTTTGGTATAAATTGTCGTGTACAAAGGAGCATTTATCACACTTATCGGTCGTTACTTACAATTTGTATTGAATTTAGAATATTTGGAATTTTACAATATGAATTTTAATAAAGCGGAACTTGTAGACATGACTTTTGTTTTGGGCGAGTCAGACAGAAATTGTTTACTTGCCAATAGAATTTATCACCAACGTTATCCTAAAAGAAGGCTTCTTGATGTTAGCAGCTTCCAAAACCTTCTCGATAGATTTCTGGAAACTGGAAATGTCGAATATAAAAAAAGTGAAAGAATAAAACGTGTTGTGAACGAAGAAAATGAGTTTTCTGTGGTGCTGGCAACGGTTGAGAATCCCCATGTTAGTCAAAGAGAAGTGACCTAATTAGTAGGAATAAGTATACGGCCTGTGGGTCGAATCTTAAAAACAAATAAGTTGCATGCATATCATATTCAAATGAACCAGGAATTATCTGATGACGATTTTCAAAAGCTCCTACAATTTTGTAATTGGGCCAGAGGTAAAATGCAATTTGATGTCAACTTCTTCGATAATGTTTTATTCACTGATGAGGCAACTTTTCATAAAAATGGATTTGTTAATGAGCACAATTTCCATTATTATGCTTCGGAAAATCCTCACTTTTTTATGCAAGTTGATAACTAACACAGATGGTCTATAAACGTTTGGGGAGGAATAATTGGAGAACATGTAATAGGACCACATTTCTTTGATAATACATTGACAGGAGCTATTTATCTTCATTTTTTCGAAAACTATCTGCCAAAATTATTGGTAAATCTCCCTGGAAGAATTCGAAATAGGATGTGGTTTCAGCAAGATGGTGCTCCACCACATTATTTAAATGCAGTTAGAGACCACTTAAATAATACCTACCCTCATCAATAGATTGAAAGAAACGGACCCACTAAATGGCCTGCTAGATCCCCAGATCTTACAAAAATAGATTTCTTTTTATGGGGATACGTGAAGGAAATTGTTTATAGAGACACACCAACAACAGTACAAAATATGAAGGAAACAATAATAACTGCCTTTAGATCTATCACACCGGCAGTTTTAGGAACAGTGGGAACCTCATTTCAAAACCGCATAGAGATGTGTGCCAATCAAAATGGCCAACATGTGGAACATTTATTATAATTTTTTCTACTGAGTTATTTGAAGAAACCTCTTTTTTTTAAGTTTATTTTTGAATGTTGTAATTATTGCTCAATAAAACGAAAATGATTGCAATTATACATAGGGAAGTACTTACAAAAAATTTTCTTTTTTCATTTTTACATCACATCGTTGAAAAATATATGGGTGTTCCATTTGAAAAAAATTGAGAAAATTTAATTTAAAAAGTTCTTAATTGAATACTAATTTTGGCCACCTTGTACATTTTTAGGAAATGAAAATGATTCAAAAATATTTATTAGATGTCTCGTAACTGGTATTCACATAAGTTTTTCTTAAAACCCATAATTGTGACTGTGGTAATTTTTTTAATATCTATCTGCAGATGGCATTATTTCAAAATAAAAATTCATTACATCAAAGTAGTTGGGAGATAGCCAATAATAATATAGGAATGAATAGAGCCTAGTAGCCTAGAAAGGGGCTTCAAAAATGTACTGATATATATAGCATTCCATTTAAAAAAAGGCACTTGGTCCTGTAATTTCGTCTTGGCTCGCCCTGTGTGTTCAAAATTAATTTCCAGTTATAGACTTTTTTATCTAGTTTACTTGCATTTTTTTAAAAAATTTCTAGCTATCTTAGAACTCGAGATATCGAGGTCCGACGCACTATTACCCCACCCTGTATATTAGAGAACGTCTGGAAATTCGTGTTCATCAGGCAAAAATGAGTATAGACTCATTTTTGCCTGATGAACACGAATTTGCTAGTCAAAAATTCCCCCTCGGCTATACTTTTCGAGATATTCAGGCGCAAAGTGCCAAAATGTCGTGTTTCCTCATTACCTATTGCAGCATTTATTCACAATTCTTTTAGTTTATTTATACCAATGAGGATTTTTTGGATGGTTTTAAATATTCCAACGCATTCGCTTTAATAATATTTACCTGCTATATTTGTTGAAGAATGTACCGAAATATAACACAATATTCCAAACTGTTTTGCAGGTTATCAGCTGAACCTAGAGATTCTTTACCATCATGTTGGTAGCTTGGACAAAACGTGGGAAATTTTTATTGTGGGTACGGGTTGTAAAAGTATGTTCATTCGTTTACATAAAATACAGACATATCCGCCGCCGCCGTGACTAACAGTTTCATACTTCATAGCTTGCTTGTTCAAATTGACGGATATTTATGTAATGTTAGATTATATTTTAGTGCATTTTCAATGAATATAGCTGAAAAATATTATTAAAGTATTGAAGTACTTAGAAGTATTTTTGCGCTCTATGCTCCAATATCTCGAAAAGTATAACTTAGAGTTAATTTTTGTCTCGAAATTCGTGTTCAGCAGGCAAAAATGAATATCTTAAGAAAAAAAATTCAAAAATCGGACTTTCTCTAATATACAACATTACCATTATGTACATTTAATACTGCTTCGATTAATAGAAATTACCATAAGAAAACTAAATGTTCTTAAAATACCTGTATTTTTTCCACCGTTTCTGGCATTTTTTTTAACGCCTTATTTATATTAACGCCCGGGCGGAGGAGTTTAACGCATTGCTATTCCACCACTAACCCAGCACAGACACACATACAACTATCATTTCTCCGACATTTGCCAAATGCCGCAGCTGTGACTCGAACTCAGGAGAGATAGATGCTGACTAGCCGTGTTCTGCCATACAACAACGTTCTAGCCAAATCTGCTATCGTCTGGGTATTTTAAAAACGCCACTAAACATCGATGCTCTAGCCGGGATTCGAACCCGGAATCCCTTGGTTTCAAGCCTAACGTGTAAGCACTGAGCCACTGAGTATTTTTCAATATTTGTGTGATATTTGTGCACGCTGAGCTCAAAAAGAGAGTTCGATATACAATTGAACATCATCCGGACTGTGTATTGTATTTTCTCCAATTTGTTGACGAGTTTTTTTTAAATATAATTTTTACTATTTTGGGTAGGTACATAGTAAAAAGCCTGCTAGTCATTTTGCGTAATTAATTTTGAATGTTTATTTATCACAGATGTGCTGCAATTGGTTCAGTAACGTTTTACTAAGCAAAAAAGTTTCGTTAGTTATATTTTGATATTTCTGCGACTGGCGCGTTAGATTCTATAATTTCTGATCACCCACAAAAATGGCATCTAAAAAGTAAAATTATTATACTTTTCACTTTAAAATTTTTCTGTTCAGACAAATCAATGATAATGTACATGTACTTTACTGATGTTTCATACTTTTTTTAAATATGAAATTAAAGTTGCTAAATTGTACGGTATTTTTTATATGTTTCTATATTGGAACACTGGGAATAAACGAGTACATTACTTTTTTTTGTTTTTTAGGTTTTACACCACTAAAGAACTAATTGATTTAGTTGAGAATGAGCAAGTTTGGGAAGGTGATGTATATATTACACCTCCAAATGATGGAATAGAATTAGAAGAAGATTCTACTGATGATGAATCTCCTTCAGCAAATGTAAATCACCTTAGTGGACGCCAAATGCAATCAGAGACTTGCGCTAAAATAAAAAAAATTGGACGGGGTAGTTTACGTTGAAGATAATGATCAGGAAGAAAATGATGAAACATTCTTTGAAGCTAACCTACAACCAGGAACTTCAGCTAATGCTGTTGAAGAATCTCAGGAACTCTCTGACGGTAATACAAGCGATGACAGCGAAAATATACCTTCGGCTCGGTTGGTAACCCAAACTAACAGACAAAGAGTAGAAGCAAATTTTGAACGAAATTGGAACAAAACTGACCTAACACCTTCTTTTCCTACATTTATTTTACCTAACGCAACAGATAATGAAATCACATTTTCAGATGCTGTTGCGTGCTTTCAATCATTTTTAATACAGATATATGCAATTTTTTAGTGGAAATGTTTGGATTGTACGCCAGACAAAAAGGCAATCATAACTTTAGAACAGATGAGGGAGAAATAAAATGTTTTATAGCGATTTTATATTTATTTGGACATTTACAAGTTCCAAGGTAGCGTATGCTTTGGGAAGTTGATATTGATACATATAATCCATTAGTAGCAAATTCAATGCGGAGAAATAGGTTCGAAACGTTGAAAAAATATGTACATTGCTCTGATAATAATAATTTAGAATAAAATAATAAATTTGCAAAATTACAACCCCTCTTCTCAATATGCTAAATGAACGTTTTTTGTCTCATGCTCCTCTTAGCCAAAAATTGTGCATTGATGAGAGTATGGTGCCATACTTCGGTAAACATGGGGCAAAGCAATATATAAAAGGAAAGCCCATTGGGTATGGTTACAAAATATGATCTTTATGTGAAAAATCTGGATACCTAATACAGTTCGATCCATATCAAGGCAAACAAGCAAACAGGCGACACATGGAATTGGAATTAGGAGGGTCTGTAGTAATGACACTTTTAGAAAAACTGCCAAAAGAAGTACCATTCAAAAATTATGGCGATCGATATTTTTCTTCTCTAAAATTAGTAATTTACTTCAAAGGAATAGAGTAGGATATTCATGTACAATCAATGCAAACAGATTGGAAAACTGTCCTTTGCGCAATAAAAAAACGTCCTTTGATTATTCTACAGACACCAATTTTCAATTAACAGTTACATTATGGAACGGCAACTGCCCTGTTCTAACTGTCAGTAGTTGCGATCCGGTAAATCCAGTTTTCCAAGTCAGTAGATGGATATCAAATGAAAAAAAGAAAAGTCCGGTTCCTCAGCCATTTGTAATCGGTCAATATAATAAATATATGGGCGGAGTGGGCCGGATGGATTAAGACATTCACAACTATAGAATTAGTGTCCGTTCAAAAAAATAGTGGTGGAGTATTTTTTCATTTTGTTTAGATTCGTACATGCGTAATGCCTGGCAGTATTATAGGCTTCAACCAAATTGCGGAAAAATAGATTTTTTACAATTTCGAAGAAAAGTGGTGCAAGTGTATCTAAAGAAATACGGACGACCAATTTCAACTGGGGGCCGTCCTAAATCGTCCAAACCATTACAAGAACGGACTCATAACCAAATTAGATATGATGGTATCAATCACTGGATTGTTCCAGCCAAAAAAATAAAATAGGTGTACTCTGTGTCATAAGAACTCGACCAAAATGTGTGAAAATGTGATATTAATTTACATGATGCTTGTTTTAAAACTTTTCATGTGTCCAAGTAATATTATAATCTCTTGTTTATATAACTTCACTACATTTTTCCTACTTTGTTTTCAATAAAGTTGAAACCGCAAATATTTTAAAATTTATTTTAAATGATCCCATCCGTTCCAAGTGTTCCAAAAATGGAACATCAATTTTTCTTCTTAAAAAAACTGAAAAAAAATAGAAAATATTTTCTTTTCGATTAAATTTAATACGTTTATCTATAATTTTTGCAAATATTAATTTTCAAAGTTTTTCCAAAACTTGGGCACTACAGGTACATACAATAAATTAGAACCTGGGAAAAAATGGGTTAAACATCTAAAAATACACAGGGTGCTCCATTTTAAAAATCGCAAATTTGGTGTATATCTCCGAAGTGAGATAATAAATTCTTTCTGCAGCAAGTGAGTTGAGATGATATGAAAATTTCTCACAACTTCTTTATTTTTTACTGGAACAAAAAATAAAAATGTTAAGGGTGGTAGAATCTCTCGTGAATACCTCTATACAGTAATATTTCTAATGATTTTTAAAATGTAGATCACTTAGTAAATATATTAATTTTACTGAGAGTCTGTGCGATAAATATTGGAAGAGGGGAATATATGAAACTTAATAAGGAACTTGCGAATCTTTTATGACTACATTTTTCTGGATATGTACTCGCATGTTTCCACAGAACAAAATATCAAAATAGAAAGATAAAGATAGATAAATTCGAAATTTCAAAAAGTAATAATATATTCATTACTAATAAGACTTTCTCAACGCTTCAGTCTTAAAGCAATAAACATAATATACTTTGAGGGGGTGTAATACACCAATTTTAACCAAGTTTTATATGTTGGAAATACATTTACAATATGTAAGAACTATATAACTTGAAACATGAGTGCGTTATGACTCAAGGAAGATGACATAAAATCTTTCGACAAAACATTTTACTGGAGTATCCTTCGAATAACAATATATTGACAGCACATTTGGTGCAGTCAGTCTGTGTTGTTTAAAAAGTTATTTTAAACTGCAAGGTGGTGCTAAGAAAAGCTATCAAATGTGCAGCCGCGAAAATAGAGAATAGCGACTTTTATGTGGTTTTAAAAAAGCTACACAGGGAATAAAACCGTGATAGGAAAATGATATCCTGCATTATATAGAATATTCAGGGGCTTAAGAAACCCATAATGTGTAGTTTTATCTAATAATTTCGTATTTCTGTTGTTGCATTAGTTGTAAATACAGTGAGTCAAAATGATTTGATAACTTTTAACAGACAATGACATATTAATTAGTAACTACTTTAAATACAGAAATAATGTGAATACCATCTTGTAACGGTTCCATATTTATATCACAAGGTTTAATAAATATCAAGTTATAAAATGCTTCCTCAATTTTATTAAAGAACCCTGCTATTTTTACCACGAATTGAAATATTTTGAACTGGACTACATCAATCCAAAGGCATTTGGACGCATGTAGTGAGCAAAGAATTAAAGATTTCGTCATTATTCCCGATTTCCAATGACCGTTTGTACTTTCCCTCTTTGTTAAAAATCAAAATTCGTATGGTTTCCACTAAAGGGTTTCAGCAGGGTTGTTACACTAAATGTCTTAAATTCGAGACATAAGTTGGGCTAGTTCATATTAAGTCCATTAATATTACACTAATTTTCTTTAAGATCGTCTGTAACTTAAATGATCCTATAGAGGTAGCTTAAAGTTTCAGCCTGTTGTAGTTTGGCAACAGCGTAAGATCCTAATATTAGTGACAAAAGAAGAAGAAGAACAGAGCATATAATTGAAGTATCATAACCTAGTAAATGAAGTCAGATCTGTCGAATGTATTTTCAAAATGTCGTGTAAATGTATGTACATATATATTATATTTTCATATAAATTTTTCATGTCTAGCGAAAAAAAAGAATAAACGAATCATAGAAAAACTGCATTGTTTAACTGATTATATGATGGCAAATAAAGACTTTGCATGTGGGAAATTTCGGGGCCCACAAGGCCACCAGTCTCTAAACCGAGAATGAAACAAAGTAGGCAAAATGTTAAATGAGATTGACCCCAGTAAAACCACATACCAATGGAGAAGGGTAAGCTTTTAGTTTATATGTGGTTATAAGGAAGTACATTATTTTTTTCATAATGATTAAAGATGAAATGATATTATATACCTAAATAAGTATGTACTATGTGTACATGTATGTAGGTATGGAAAAATCAGAAAATGCAAACCAGGAAGAAGTCAAGTGAATTAAAAATGGCCAAGAAATGAACAGGGAACTTCACACCACCTCCTCCACTTAGCGAAAAGGAACAAAAAATTATATCACTTATAGGAGTTGAACCTTTAGAAGGATTTGGGCTAGGCTTCCTCTGGAGATCCTAGTTCTGTATTTAAAACAGGTGTTAACAAATATATTTGTGATGCATATCCAGAGTCACCTAAAAATATTCGCACTTAACTATGTTTTAAGACGTAAAATTAATCATCAATTACTTAGAAGATATTAAAATAAATACAGTAATAATTAAGATGTCTTTATTTTTATCTCGCCGTAGTTTATCAGCCTGTTCTACTTATTTGAGGATTTGAAAATAATATAATAATATGTGTTAAG